TGAAGACCCAGCTGCAAGGGGATGCTATTCAAATGTGGGGCTTTGGGGAGATTATTAGGATTAGAGAGGTCCTGAAGGGGGCTCTCAGGATGGGACTAGCACTTTTGTAGGAGACTCTAGAGAACAGAGAATAGGTGACACATCTCTCATCCTCTCTCCCACATTTCCCTTTTCTTCTTTCTCTCCCTCTTCCTCTCCTTTCCCCTCTCTCCTTACCTTTCTTCTCTCTGTCCCTCTCTTCTTGCCTAAAAAGATACAGTGAGATGCTCTCCTTTCAGTAAACTAGGAACAAGCCCTCACTAGACATGCAATCTGTTGGCACCCTGATCTGATTTCTGGTCTTCAGAACCATGAGAGGTAACGGTCAGTGACACTTTATTATGGCAGCTCTGGCTGCCCAACTGACGAAGATGGTCCCCATACCAGAAACTAGACAGGAGGCAGAGCAGGGCAGGGGCCAGCTCCTGCTCATTAAGGAGATGCGCACACAGGAAGAAGCACAGAAACCAGGACCACTGCAGCAGGGATACCTCCCATCCTGGGCTGCATCCTCTTTAATGAGACGTCACTTTGGAGAAGCGTTCTGGAGCCTTTCAAAATCTCAGCCTAAACCTCATCAAACTGCATAGAGATTACTTAAGATTTACCACATAGACACAAAATAAAATAAAATAAGGCAGCCCAGCAAGCAGCAGCCCTGTGACAGGACCATTTGTAGTTGGGATGGAAAAGCCTCCCGATTCATCTGCTTAAGCACAGCGGCTTCTGTTTATTTCGCACTTTCATGTCAAATGAATTTGGAAAGAGAAAAAAAGTGACAGGCAGTTTAGGGATATAAGTCACATTTCAGCTTCAGTTCAGATTAATGAACTTGCTGGGAGTTGGCAGGGGTGCAGGCAAATCCACAAATCTCAGAACAACAAAAAATTAACCCTTTGCTTGGTATGAGTGTTGGCCCTGGGGAGAAGCTCCTCCAGGTCTCTTTGTTGACCTTCTGCCTGAAACCCATGCTTACATGCTGGTTCTGGGCTAGGTCCCTTGGGGTTAGCAGTGTGTGTAGCCATGGAATGGATGAAGGGGTACAAAGCAGCCTGTGCACTGACTCCTGGAGACCCATCCTGTCCATTTCCCCAAGGACAAGACAAGCAACACATGCAGAGGAACAACCACCCAAAAATGGGCAGCACATAGCCAGCATGGCCCTATTACCTACTGCCCAGCACCCAAGCAGCTGTAGGGCTAGGATGGACCCAGCACCATATATCCTGCTCCTCAAGGCAAAATTCTGCCCCAGAATGGCTGTAATCCCTTCATCCCCTGTCCTACTGATCCTGGCCTCTATGTACTCACCTGTCCAGGGCAGCATGTGACCTCATCTGCTGTAGCCTGGATGGCACACCCATTCTTAGAGACCCTGACCAGTAGCCTCAAAAGGCCCAACAGCCCTACCAGTGGACTCCTGTCTGAAAAGAGACAAGTGCTAACTAGACAAGAGAACCTGACCACATGGAAGCCAGGTGAACCTCTGTATCCCTGTCCCTCCATGTCCAGTCCAAGAATACCAGTGGCAGGAATAAGATGCCCCAGTCTGAGAGTAAAATCACCTCCTGGGGCAGAAAAGCATACCCAGGGATAGCAACCAATGGAAGTAGACTCACTATCCGTCTCAAGCCTCAGTGCTGCCTGTGGGTTCTGGGAAAACAGAACAATCACCCTGTGTCTTCTCCCTAAAACAAAAGCAGCACTAACAGTCCAGGCTGGTAAGGCTCCCCTGCCTCCTAACAGAGCAACAAGGGGCTATCGAGGGCCCTGCAGGGATGGCTAGGTGCAGGGCTGGGTATGAATTCTGCCATGTAGCAGGGAATGGCAGGAAGAGAGAGGTACAGAAGGGAGCCTAAGGCAGGACAAGGAAGGCTGCCACCGAGGCGTGAGACGAGCTCCAAAGAGCCTGGCCACATCAGACTGCACTACTACCTCTCTGTCCTCCCTCAGTCTCCACGATTCCAGGCTCCTCACTAGTCTCAAGCTTGGTAGCCGTCCCCAAGGAAGGCAGGGGCCAAGGCCACCTGGCTACTGGGTGATGAATACAGCATGCCAATAAGCCCTGCTGAGGATTTGGCCAACTGGTTGCTCTCCAGGCAGCAGCCTCAGGGCCTTTAGGCTCAGCCTGGACTCCAAGAGCCTTTCTACCACTCAGCTGCCCATGGCTTCTGAATTTACCACCTGTTCTCCTCTCTTTGCCACCTTAAAACAGATTCTGTTTCAAGGATAAATCAGGAAACTGAGGCTTTGAATAGAAAAGGCAAGCCCCAGGTCACTCAGCCCACTGGGTCTTCCATTGGATGGCAGCTTCCTCCTGCTCCCTGGAATGACCTAACCTCCAACCACAGTGAAGATCTGTAAAGGGCGAGCAAAAGCTGGCCAGTAGCACTTAACACCCTGCTGCACCTCCCACATGTGTCTGCCAGCCTCCAAATCTGCCCAGAGGTTTCCAGGATCCCTACCAATCCCTATAGGAACATCCTTTTTTCCATGGTGGGGCAGAGAGCTGGGAAACCAAGGAAAGTCTGGTGGGAGGCCCCACTTTTTCATCATTAAGGCAGCCCTTTGTCTATGGTAGTCTATGGGTCCAGCCCAACTCTTCCCACTGCTGAGGAAGAGAAGGAGCCTGCTGAGAGGTTGAGGTCACAAGCCTGCCAACCACAAGCAGGTGGCCACCAGTTCTGTTGGAGCAAAGACAGCAGGGAGGCAGGCACCAGCTCAGGGACTGTCTCTGCTGTCCCAGACAGACCCTTTCTACTGCCTGAACAAGCCAGGCCCAGGCACACAGAGCCAACAGCAGGTTGGGCAGCTGGTGGTCACTCTGCTGAGCCAGCAGCCACATAGGCACTGGTAACCTTGGGCAAGGGAGGCCCAGTCCATTGCAACTGCCATTCTTCACAGGCCCTCCTGACACTTGCAGCCCTCAGCTCAGCTTCCTCCCCAGTCTTGTATCCAGGGCCCAGCAAGCATTTGGACAGGACCAGGGTGAGACAGTCAGAAAAGAAGATAGGGCCTTCCACACACCTGCAATTACCACATCAATCTTGGGTCAGCTCTTCTATGGTCTCATACAGAGGGAAGCACTGAGGTCAGCACCATAGCCAGGCCCCTGGTCATGGACTGAATTAGAACTCTCCTATGGCTGTGAGACTTGAACTGCCTAAGATCAGCACCCTCTCAGCCTCCTGCCTACCCACACTCACAGTGGAACCACACCAGGCACCACCCTCGAAGGACAGAGAGACTAGAGAATGGCCTGGCTGAACTGGCTGCTTCCTATCTTGTGGACAGCACACAAGCCCTGCAACACACTGCATAGTGCACACTGGGCTGGACTTTTCAGCGTCAGTTCTCAGGGTTACACTGGTCACTTGTATCCTCTAGGACTTTCTCAATCCACTAGGGCCTCGGCACTGACTCTTTTAGGCCCACCTGGGTGAGCACAGATGGTCCCAAACCTGGGATCACCTTGTTCTCAAAGGCTGGAGGGAGAGGTGCATTAGGTCCCTCAGGCTTACCTCAGGCCCCCAGCCAGACTCCGGGAGAGGAGGGACATCAAGCTGAATGCTGACTACAGGAAGGGGAGGTTCTTAGGAGCCAAGAATCAATAAATCTGAACCTCATTCATGATGATCTGGGGCTCTTATTAAGTAAATTAATTTAAGTTAATTTAGCTCGATCATGACTCCCGATCACAGTGATTTAGTGAAGGGGAAATTGCATTAGGAAAGGCCATGCTCACCAGATAGAGGAACGGAAGAAAATTAGATCCACTTAGCAATGTGAATTAATATGGAAATAGCAGGTGTAAATTTAACCTTATCGAGAGAGTAAAAATTATCTTCATAAATTTGTAGAAATAGCCCCCAAGATGCTTATAAATCTATTTAAAACAAAAATATTACCAAAAGTGCAGTAAAATTAATTTAAAATATACTTCTAGCTATTGCCTCCATAATAGTCAGCAACAGAGGCAACCCTAGTGTGGCCTGAGTGAGAGAAGAGGTGGTAGGCCTCAGATGGATGAGCTGGTTGGGCTCACCTGCCACAGGCCTCTAGCCCATGCTACACTCTAGCCACATAGCCTAATAGAGCCCCTATAACCACCTTAGGCCTGCAACTGTCTTGGGCAGCAGCAGAAGCAATGGCCAGGCAGCCACCATACACAGGTAGCAGGCCCCTGGATGTGTCTGATGTGCCATATGGCCTGGTAGATTTACCTTGTAATCTCTTCCAGGCTCCCCTGGAAACAACTGAGACTGAATTCTCCCACTGCCTTCTTCTTTCTTACCCAATCAGCTGCCACCCTTCCCTAGACCTAGAGGTGGGACATCCCTGCCTTAGTAAAGGAAGGGACCCTTTCCAGCTTCCTGGAACCCAGAGCTTGAGCCACCTCCATCAGTGGGTGTTAGGGCCTTCCCAAAAAGAGCCCCCAGAAAGGCAGGCACAGAACATTCTTCCGATGGGATGCCCCAGCCTACTGTTCTCAGGTGCAACAGCCACTGGAAGGCCAGCATGCACTGGGAGCAGAACTGCAATAAGTGACCCAGACTGAATGTGGAGGAGCCTCAAGTTACTCCCCCAATAATGTGTGTATTGGCAGCTTCCAGAAAGCCTGCTTAGAAGTTTCTCTCCAACAGATGATGAGAGGCAACTTATCACTGGGGCCTCAATTGTATGGGTGATGCTGCTTCTGTGGTACATGAGCCCCCACCAGCTAACAGGCTTGCTAAAAACAGCAGTGGCATATACACCTAAATGCCTCTGTGTACACCATACATGCAGGATAACTGTATATCTGGTGTCAAAGTGCTATAGAATTAGGGTGTAGACTAACTAACATGCTGGGTATCACACAGTTCCCTGATTCCTACACCCCTCAGGCCCAAATTTGCTGCCCACAATATACAGAGAGCCTGGTGCCCAGGACATCAGAAGTTTTAACAAGGTCTCCCTACCTGGATAGTGAAAGCCGCCGGGCCCGCCAGGAGGGCAGAGACAGGGGAAAGGGTGGGGTGCAGACAGGAGAAGCTGAAGTCTTTTTGACAATGCGGTAGCGGGTCTTGATCACTTTGCTGGTAGGTGGAGTCCGCAGAGTGTGCGTATTGGACACTGTAGAGAAAACCCAGGGCACACGCAGGAGTCAGAGGCCAACCAGGGCAAGGCTGGTGAGGGTGCCCTCAAAGTTGGCCTCCCTGACACCTCCTCTACAAATAGAGAACTCTCCATCACTTCTCACCTGAGCCCACCCCATTCAGCATACACACACACACACACACACACACACACACACACTCCAGAGTGTGAAAGCCAAGGCCTCAGAAGACGGCTGCTGTAGCTGTCAGAAAAGCAGAGTCCAGGCCCTCTATTCCTTATGGCTGCTTGACCAGCCAAATAGGGGTGCTGAGTGACTGCCCTCAGAAAAAGAAAGAAATCCAGCAAGCCAGGCCCTGACTAAGAAGCTTCACAGCCAAGCACCTAAAATAGGAATCCTCAGACTTCAAACTTCATGACTAGTCCAGGAGGCTAGTGCCCCTGCCTTGTTCCCACACACACAGGAGGGGCACTGACAGCTCACCTCTTCTCTAGGTACTACTCTATTCCTGTGCCGGACAGATTTATGTATTTAATCACTGTTTTCATAACATTCTATAGCATGATATCCACAACGGCTTTTTCCTTACTGAATGTTTCAGGCAATTAGCAGGGCTCTGCTCTGCCTGAGTTCCTTTTCACTTGATAGCCAGCAATTTCTCTATAGCTTCGAGGAACGTGTCTAATTGCCCGACTTGCATAATGTACAGCTCTAACTGCCCAGATAATTAAAGCTAACATGGCCACTTCTCATGCCTGCTCCCCTCCAGAAAGAGCTCCTGCCCAATCCACCCAGGTGGCATCTGCTCCCTTCCAATCTATGGAAAGCATTCCTCTGCCCTGGGTATTCTATCCTGCCCCCTAGGTTGTCAATGCTGTCACACAAGACCAGCCACTGGAATGGCTTCTGAGACTCCTCATTCAGAGGCCTGCACAGCATACCTCACACAGTCCAACCTCCTACAACATCTTGGCCATTAGACCTCAGAGACAAGACCTTAATACCACCACACTTTTACCTACAAAGCAAGAAACACAACTGCCTGTCCCTGTCAATATGTTGACAAAAGACCCTTCCTCATGGGCCAGGGATTTAAGTCAGCAGCAAAAGTGCCTGCCTGGCAAGCTAGAGTCAAGAGTTCAATCCCAGGTACCAAAACAAAAATAAAAACAAAAAAAAAAAAAACAAGAATTAGATGGTTTTATTGCTGGGTGTGATGGTACACTCCTGTAATCCCAGTACTTGGGAGGCCAAAGGAGGATCATTACAAATTCGACACTAGCCTGGCTACAAAGTGAATCCATGGCCAGCCTGAACTGCATAGTGTGACCCTGTCTCAAAGACCAAAAAAAAAAAAAAAAAAGAGCCACTCCTAACCTCTACTGGGTCCTCCATCAAAAATATGTTGGGCGACACAGGAACACAGCATCAAAATCCTCCCAGAACCTAACCCATAAGATCTGTCACAGATGCAGTGCTTGGAGGGGATGGAATGCAGGCTGCACATGCTCAGCCTTGGTCAGGGTGGATGGTGCTCAGCATAAGGGTCACCTCTGGTTAATGATAGGAATGAGAGGCAGCTGCCTGCCAAGAGAAGGCCATAACAATGTCTGGAAGACAGTTCTTGTTAAACCCCAGTAACAGGTTCCCCTCTCTCAATCTTTGTTTATTTCTGTCCCTATTCCATCTGTTTTTCTGTCCTTTTGAATCTCCAAGAACTCTAGCTTAGGAAGCAGTAAGGAGAAAACCGAAGCTATGGAAACGAAGTGTGAAGTTGCATTGTCTGGAATCTCCTGGTCCTCCTGAGTGACCAAAGTAAGAAAATCTCCAACTCTGAGCACCATCTTCTATCTCCCAACACACCTGAGATACAGGGGAAGCCTGGTATATAGTAGGTGTCAATAAATAAATGTTTGTTGAATTGAATTTTCAAGGTCTTACAAGCAAGGAGAGTACAACAAAAATCAATATAGTAGCTTGTTTCAACTAAGAGCCAGAAAACATAAGACACCTTAAGTTATCAATAACCCTGCGATGACCTCATTGCCTGGGAGCCCTGGTCCAGCTGGGGAGCATCTGGAGGAGGTATATCTGTCAAAACACAGCTCAGAACTCCATCTATATTTGCAACCCCAGTGCCCACATTTGTAGAGAAGCCTCAGGTCACACTTGCCAACCTACTGCCATTCGGACCACATCCCATTGGTCTGGTCCCTAGGCTGCCCACAGCCACTAGGATATAAATCCAGAGTGTTATGGCTTGTGTTTAAATGTCCCCCCAAAGCCTCATGCAATCATGGAGGCAGGTGAATCTAGCATTTGTAATTGGTTCATTGTCTAGTGCTGGGATTGGTGATGTGAGTGCTGCATCTGCCCAGAGATGGGTGGTCAGCTTACAATAAACACAGGAAGGAGCAGTGCTTTTCTCTTTTTGCTCTTGTCACTTGTGACTGCCATAAACAGTTAAACCTCAGTCATACCATCCTGCCTTGGAGCCAACTGAGTATGGACTAAAACCTCAAAAAAAACCCTACAAGCTAAATAAACCTTTCCTTCCTTCATTTTGGGTGTCAGGAATTTTGTCTCAGCAATGAGAAAAAAGTAACCAAGACAGAGCCACACACACACACCTTAAAGCAGAAACAGAAACCAGGTGATGCTGGAGTTGTCATTCTTGGAGCCTGGGCTGGGAGTCCAGAGACCTGGCTAGACTCTACTCCTGTTTCCCAAAACACAAGGTCCCTCTGGCTAAAATCACCTCCCCCTGACCTCGGTCCACAGAAAGAAGCTACCTCCTCTTCCAGGAAGACCCCTTCCCCCACTGCTCATGGGACAGTTCCCACCTAGCAGGGTCAGCTCAAAGGACATAGCAGTACCAAGTATAGAGCTGCCTCATACTCCTGCCTACTGATGAGCCATAGTAGGAACATCTTCATCTGCCTATCACAGCTCAGATTTTCTGACTTTCTGCATCTTATTTATTTTGTCCAGTTATTACACCAAAAAAGTACAAGGGAACAAAGTAGATTTACCTTTGAAAGTGATCTCATCACTGCTCAAGGGAACAGGTGCTTCCCACATCTCTCCTACAGTGTAGTCTGAGGGCAGGAACTCCTAGAGGGCAGGATGTAGCCATGCCACTGCCAAATGGGGCCACACCCCCCACAGCACATGTCTAGGCCAGTCACATCCCCAACTTTCCTGGATGTGCTCATGACAATAACCCGATGGGCTCAGCTGGACAGATGGGTGTGGGGACTAAAACACAACCAGTAAGAGCAAGGGCTCCTAAGACTATGCTTGGTGTACAGCAAACCAGAAAGGGTACTAAAGACAGGCTGGCCCCACCCAGTGAACAGGTAGCAAAGCCACAGCACTACAGGCCAGCCAAGCCAGGAGTCAGGAACAGCCTCAACCCTCCTCCCTGAGGACACAGCAGGGGCAGCCTACCCCTCCTTGCTGGCTGAGGAGTTTTGTGTAGATAATCATGTTATTTAGATAGGATGTTGGTTTAATTCCCTTCATTACAGACTCCCAGGGTTGTAATTTTTTTCTCCGCATGATGTATCCCCCATGGCACGCTTCACTCAAATCAAGCCCCTTGCGCCTTTATTGCCAATGATGCCCATGCCGCGTTATCAGGCCCACACATGCAGCCCTCTTTGCCCGCCGTCCAGAGGTCACTTCTAATGACTAATCGATCTCATTAGCTTTCCTAATTAAAAACTTTACTACCGCAATGGAAGACAAACTACAGAAAAACTGCTGGCATCATATTTGAATGGAATATGAGCCCCATCTATCAGCAGGGCTCCAGCTCCCGCTTGAGGCATTGCGGCTCCAACCTCTGGCCTCCCCATCCCCAGACTACTGGGGGTTGGGTGGAGGTTGCCCAAGGGTACCCCAAGAGAGGCCATTCACTGAGCACCAAGGAGGTGCTATGAGAAGGATGGGAAGCTAGGGAGCCCAGGAGTCTGCTCCTATCCAGCACGGGCTACTCTCAGTCTGCAGAGCCGCTGACCTGGCTTTCCTTCCTTGGTAGGACTCCCAGGTGTCAGGATGCAGGTGGAGGTCATGCTCTCACTCTGTTTTAGTATAGGCAATAGTTGAGAGGCCGTTCAGATTTTTATGGAACTTCAAAGGGAAATAACTAGAACAAAATGAGTTGCTAATTTCACAACTGGTTAATGAATAAGATAAAACTGGAACTACTGCTTTGTGTAAAAGCTGCCTAAGGCTGCCAAACCAGAAACTGCTCTTGTCCCACTACACTGGACCAAACCAAGAGCCAAAGTGAGTGTCCTTGGTCTATCCAGTCCCCAGCAGCCAACACAAGCAGCGCCAGCTCCATCAGGAAAAAACAGAGGATAGTGAATGAGGGCCTTGCCCACACACAGGGACAAAGACCCAAAAAGCCTTCAACCATGATCCAGGCTGGCACCACAACTTCGTGTTCACCCCCTACTGGGCCTTTCTGATAGAGGGCTAGAGGTGGAAGCACCAGGGCCTTGGCACTGAGGTGACAAGCATGAAGACTACAGAGGTTATTCACAGCAGGGATCTGCTCAAGAAACTGTCCAGTTCTAGAAACCCCTTCATCCCAGCCAGGGTATAGGGATAGCTGAGGAAAAGACCAGAAAATGACACCTGAGCACAGAATTTGCCAAAATCAGTCAAAGGAGTTACTCATGCTGATGGGACAAGTGAAGTAGGGCTCAAGAGGAGAATATGACCTAATAGTAGCCTAGACCCCCGCCAAATTCCTGACAGCAGCAGCACCAATGACAGGCCAGGGCAGGGCACCAGCCCCATAGGAAGACCGAAGGCACCACCAGATGCCTTGTGCCAGCTTCTCAGGTCAGCAGTGCTGCCCTGGTTGAGGGACCCTCCCAAGCTGGGGGCAGGGAGTCAGGCTACAGAGACAATCTGGAGCTGTGGTGCTACAACGCTGCAGGCATCCTGCCAGCAAGGCTCTCTGTCCCTAATTCAGTATGATTCAACTTTCTTTGTATATTGC